GAGCAGCCTGATACAGGGCTGCTCCTACCCTGCTCTGGACCCCTGCAGCAGCCAGAAGCAGTTCCAGGCTCCCCTGGGGTGCTAGCCCAGGAGCTGGCAGGGAGCATGGGGCTGGTCCCCATGTGCACGGGGCCAGGAGAGCTCTGCCAGGTGCAGTGGCAGCTGTCTCCTTGCACCATGCACATCAGGAGGTTTCCTGATGTGCAGGGGGCTGGGAGACAGACCTCTGCACATGGGGACAAGGCCCATGTCCAGCAGGGCTTCCCTTATCAGCTGGGGCCTGGCCAGGAGCTGTCCTGCTTCTGAGGCAGCTCTCAGGCAGCTCTTGGCTGAGTGAGGATTTCCCCTGTGGTAAAGCGCTTCATGTAGATGCACCCATGGAGGGCCATATTTATCAATGGTATAATGCGAAGGGTGTCTATAGTTGCACAGGGCATCTATTTGTAATTGCATCACAGTTCTTTAAGTCTAATGCAGGACTGTAAAAAGAGTCTAAGCAGGCTGATTAATAACTACAGGTGCAGTACTCTAGCTGTGAGTTTCTGATTCATGACTACTTAGTGTATTTCATAAATACCTTTGTTTAAAAAATTGTGACCTGGAGAGGATAGTTCACCATTCTAATTCGTCATCTCTGACCTTATGGTAAGGCATTACCATATACTACATGGAAACTAGCATCTAATGATTATTAAATAAATTTTGCTAGAAGCAATCATAAAATTAGAACTTCACAAAATGTTTCAGAAGCAATTAAAAGAGATAAAAGTAGAGTTATGCAATGTTGTAAGAAAGAATGTTCCCTGCATTTTGTAAACTAAATCAAAAGCTGCAGGTACTTTATTATGCTTGAAATATTTGTAATTATCTTGGTCTGTTTCTATAGCAACGAGGCTGATACCCTTTTTTTAAAAAAGGCAGAGAAGTTCAAGCAACTGAATAAATGTTTTATCTGCTTTAGATTATTTGTTTTGTATACAAATATAATCAAAAGCCCATCTTCCCAGCTTCAACAGAATAGACTGCATGCAAATACTGTGTGTAAACAAGTTTTTTTGAAAGTTTAGAGATGACTGCATTAAAAATATAAGCTGGTTGCCCAT